CACGGGAGTTTCGCCAGGCACGTCTTTTAAGTAACTTTTATGGCTACATCTATTTTGTTTAATAGTTTAATTCGTATTGTATACAGTTAAATACGATGTCTAGCCCACTATGAACATGGCTTTCAAATCCGATAGAAATCTTTCAAAGTGCGCTGATGTTTCAATGTACAGCCGGCTTTACGACATTATTTTCAATAGTTCTTTACTTTGACCGCTGTTTCACCAGTTCATCATTACTGGGTGAGCTCAAGCACAGGGGCTTTGGTGCTACATGCTGAACATAATTCCTGCAGAGGTAAAACGCAAATCGCCTTCGGGCAAAGAGAGTCAGAAAGAGGCTCAGGAACACAGAAGGGGACGAACACAACACAACGTCTCAATTAGCGAGCTTGTGATGATTCATTCCCCTTCTGTGTTCCTGAGTCTCGGGTTTTATTACCATGAATCATCACCAGCTCGCTTGTTTTTTAAGTAATATTGCAGAAAGAGGCATTAATATTGCGTTTGTCAAGGAAGATGATTGCCTCTCACTTGTGAAGTGGCTCGACAAGAAGGGGGCGATTTTAAAGTCCACGGTGGATTCTGCGGAGCTCACTGAATGTTACAAGCGCTGGTCGCAGACTGGTAAACCTTACATTAACGTCCCTCGGCAAGCTTTGATCAAAACTTGCAACGAAAACATGGGTGGACTGGACCTCTGCGACCACCTGCTGAGCTACTTCCCTCTGAGGGCTCGAACCAAGAGGTGGACTGTGAGACTCATGTTTCATTTTTTCGACCTCAACATTGTAAACTCGTAGTTTCAGTATCGTGAAGAGCGTACCCAAACTGAGACCCCCAAGAAAGACTTCCTTCAGTCTCTCGATTTCAAACTCCAAATGGGGAAAAGACTGCTGCAAGGCGCTCTCAACTCCAGAAATGATATCAACCATGCAGGGAAGTATTCATGAGATGTCAACATTTGTATCAACAAAAGAAAAGACAGTCCCGCTACCTGGAATCGTTTTTGTGTTTGGTCGCTCGAAGAAACTGTTTTTCGAATTCCATAAGCGCTAAAAAAAAGCACCTTGCGAAGTTCAACATGGCCCCAATCTAGTCCAGAAAAAGTAGTTTCCATAGCGCTGTACGTTAGCGCGGAAATTGCACGTATTTTTGTTCAAGGAAGCTGAACGCCAAAAAGGCTGCCTTTAGTCACATTCTATTCACCGAAACCCAATGTACGGTATCCTGTATATTCCATAACAACCAATCTAATAAACCGATCGAGCAAAATTAATATTTTTGCTTTCCCCCGGACACACGAAAATTGCACCACTAAACAAATATTCTGCTGCCCAATATTTTTCGGGTCTCAGAAGGATAAAGGTGTACAGTCCATGTGACGTCAATTTTTCCGCTAAATTTAGCGGGAAAACTGATCCGTGTATAGATCACGTGATATCAATTTCCTCGCTAAATTTAGCGGGAAATGCACGACGGACGGACAGTATTTTGGGATTGGGGAGCTAAAAAGCACTTCATGCTTTCAAAGAGCGACCCGATTATCAGCTGTCAAGAGGAAGATGATAAGGCTGATATATGATGGGCGTATTGATGCGTGAAAGGGGACACTCGTTCAGGCAAAAATGCCTGTTAGTAAGATAGCTTGTTAAAATAATTGCCTAGGAAGAATTTTGCCAGCCGTTTACTTCCACTGTTTCTCCCATGTAAATTATTTTGTTCCGACTGATGAAAACGACATTATCACGAGGCCGTGTTTGCTGCGATAATACTATAGACAATTGTTTTCTTGAAGGAGGATCTAAACACAAAATCTAAACGAACGGGCAAAAGTAATTGTGGGCTGATATTGAACGTTCCCATCTATCAAATATCACCTATATAATACATTGCGCCACCTAAAGACTAGTAGTAACCAAAACAACTGAGAGGTATATTGTGCTCCCTCCCTCATTAGAATCGTTTTTTTATTATTTAAGTAAAAAGTGAAAGCCGTTTACAACTCCCTGTAACGCCGAATTCGAGCGCAGCTCTTGAGGAGGAGGAGGGAAGTGTACTGAGGGCCACGTGTTCTCGGGGGGGGAGGGGGGGTCACGTGACCCCCCAGGGCACGTGACCTTGGTGGGGTCACGTGGGGGGAGTCATGAGCACCCCCTCCGAGGTCACGTGACCTCGGGAGGGGGTCACGTGACCGCGGGGTGTCACGTGACTCCCCATGTCACGTGACCCCTCCGGTCACGTGACCAAACTTTTCCCGCTAGATTTAGCGGGGAAAGTTTTGCGCTAGATTTAGCGGGGAAAATTTTTCCACTACATTTAGTGGGGAAATTTTTTCCGCTAGATTTAGCGGGGAAAATTTTCGTCTAGATCTAGCGGGAAATTTTTCCGCTAAATTTAGCGGGGAAAATGTTCCTTTAGGTTTAGCGGGGAAATTTTCCCTCTAGATTTAGCGGGGAAATTTACCCATAATGCACCGCGCGGTTACGCCGACGCCGACGGCGAAGGCGACGGCAACGGCGACGCCGCTCAAGCCGGAAACGGGCGCCTAAGAGCTACGCTCTAAAAGTTATCCTTTGATGATAAACATTCTTAAAACCCAAGACGGAGGCTGCAAAGAGGGGATAAATACCAGATCGCCGGCCTTATTGCGTTATCTTCTTTGATGATGTTTAACGAAAATAAAATTAAAGATTCGGCCATGCTGTTTCAACGACGAGGAAGAACATTCTGGCCAGTCCTGAACGAAAGCTAACCTGCAGTCTACAGCGTGCCAAACAACACGCCAGTTCAATGCCCTTCTATATCCGAACCCGAGAAGACCCTGTTCAAAAGTCCGCGCCCACTCCTGTCCTCCATTGCGTGCTCACATGCTCTGTGCATGTACTTGGCACAAGGCCTGAGTCAGTATTCGGCGTAACTCGGTTCAGCTCGGATTGGACACGAGTGCTGACGTCAGCGTTTCGTCGAAAAGTCGGATCCAATCACGCGCTTGGTGTTTAAGCAAGGGCGGATGCCAATGTAGCTTGATGGGCTTTTGAAAAAGGTATATTCAAGGGAATAAGATCAAGGACTGATACTTGACTCGATGCCTTGGCGTCATTTCTATTCCTGTTTGAGAGGCATTCAGTGGTTGTTTCGTAGTCCATATTACAGCTGAATAAATCATTCCCGTCGCAGACGGCCTGCAGTGAAGATGACTAATTTCGTGTTTCTTCGCGTCACTGTGATTAATTTCCCCATTTCACTTCTGGATGAGACATGCCCTCAGATTGAAGGCCCTCGCACCGGTAATTATGTTTCCGTTTCTGTGAAGAACCCAACGCAAATAAAGTTAACATCAATGTGCAAACAAAGAAATCATACAGCCGATTCATTGACGACGCCTTTTCCAGACTTAGTCGCAACCAATTGGGAAATATCCACAAAATCGGTAGATTTTCCTCTGCAATTCAGTTTACTCGTAAAGCAGACAACAATAATTATTTCCCTTTTCTGGAGATGACCCCATATAATAGCTAGCGAATGTTTAATTTCCGTCTGAGAACATCTCGTCCAATGCAAACTTCCGCACGTCAGTAAAGTTCAATGCCAGTGGTTCCAGCGTAAGATGTGAGTGCAATATACGTTTTGTTTATTACTTATGCGTCACAGTAAAAATAGTAAAAAAAAACAAAGAGTAAATTATTGCCACTAGATATGTTAAGAACGTGTTTGATGTGATTCACCACACCCTCAATTCATCAAAGGCGTGCACGGTGCTCAAAACATACTAAATACTTTGTCATATGCTCTTCAAACGCAAAACCCTAATTCATCAACGTGCCACAGAAGTATAAAATATGTAGTGCAGGATTGCTACCACCACTATGAGACTACACTGAAGCAAAGTTCCGCAGACGTACGTCAAAGGCTCAAAGCACTGAAGTAGAATGATAAAAGGTACATATATACCCAAAAGAAAACGCCGGGATCGTCAACCATTGCTGGTAAACCGAACAGAGCTTTGACTTTGGAAATGCAATGACAATGGCTCGGGAGTCAGGAGGGAGATCGGGCAGAAAATAAATCTAGCTGTCGTGGTAAACCAGGCTGACAGGTGGTATATTCTGTCCCTGTTGGGATCACTGAGGACCAAACAGTTCTCAGCCTGCCATCATTTATAAAAGATGTTTCCAGACGAGGATTAGAGGCATCCCATCAACTTGTTTACTGTATTATTACAATTCAGATTTATTTCCTTATCAGAAAGTTTTGAGTGTTATGTGCAGCTTGAATGCATGTTTAATGTGCTATTTTTCATAATGTGCTCTAACACATCATTTGCAATGATGTGTTTTAATAGTTTCCCCCTTTTCAATAGCGTCACGTTTTAACTTTTTTTTTCTTGAGAAATACCTTATATGTGTGAGCTTTTTACAATATTTGATGTAAGGTTTATCTTAGGTTTGATAAAAATAAGACACAAAATATGGAACTCAAATATACTCAAGTATGCAAGTACAAGTGAAACCATATAGCGCGAAAACGCTTGTTGTCCTTATTATCAGCTTTCTTCCTAACTTCAGATTTCGCGGTCCGTAAATTCAGAAGCTAGGAAAAAAGCTAATAATAAGGACCGCAAAATGTTTGCCATTACCCGGAAGTATTTTTAAACATTACGTTCACCATTGTACGCTGATGCAGAACGTTACGTCTGTGCTGGTTTAAGGACGTTCACTCCATTCAGCGCAGATGTCGGCGTGCTTACAGATGTTTATCTGGAATTGGGCACGCAACGCCGAACATTTATCGTGAGGCAGGGGAACCTATCGAGCACGCTGCGGAGTGCATCACCGTTCATCCTAACACACGCGTTCTGGCTAGTTCGGAACTCAGTTTTTATGCCTCTCCAAAACATCTGTTTGTGACATGTCGTCCCCGCACAGGAGTAGGCCTGTGGTAGTTAACATTTTGTTTATTTGTTCCGAATCATTTCAGAGATTTTCAGGAAGGAGTTCACCATGAACAGCTGCAATCTCCCCCTTTTGTTGGCTTTCCTGGCAACTGGTAAGTCTGTTGTGACATTCTGAAAGTACTCTCAGACAAGAGCATTTGCAGCATAAAATCATACGGGGATGGAATATTGACAGGGTCAAGTCCATTACTTCTGTAGCTAGTGCTGAATTGTTAACCCCCTGTTGCCAGATTCTAAATACGTATGAACTCTTCCATTGCTGCATTCGGGCAGTGTTAAAGAGATTTAACTTGCCAACTAAAGCACCCACAATTTGTCAAACCAATCCCTAGAGATGTGCTCAGCCAGGTATACCTTTCATTGGTTCGGTGCAACCTTGCAGTCCAGCCAAATGATTTTGTGTTTGTTCTTTTATTTTACTTTCTGTTGGGTAAGAGGCGTAAACAAAGTGTGACTACGTTCTTCCCACATAATATGTTTCCGAATTCCGTCGACAGGGAATAGCAATCAATGCTCGCACAGACGGCTTCTTTTTCAAGTATAGTAAAACATGGCTGTCTCTCCTCATGCGCTAACTGTCCATGTCACCGTGTTTAAGGCGTTACTGATTCAATGTGAGATTGACGATAACATAAAATGTTTTTAAGCGCTTTTATGACCTAAAAAAAAGTTCCTTCCAACACGGGATGCACCAAAAATAATCCGAATGCTGAATATTATCACATAAATAACGTCGAAATTACTATCTATTCGAGACAAAGTTCGCACTTCGAAAGTTGAAAACAGTAAATATTTCAAATTTATGTTTCCTGTCAAATCGTCGGGTTGACACCAGAGGCAGAGAAAACACGTGGCTTTTTTTTTTTATTGAACCTAGGGCGCCCAAAGTATTGTTGTAAGCTAAACATCTTGACAGCAGTGGACTAGAAATTATTGTGCTGTAATATAAATTGTCTTCCTACAAGTAGTCCGGCAACTGGTTTTTCCGCTGAAATTCGTCCTTAGACAGTGGTGTGTCAACAACATTGTCATTTTTGTGTACATAGAATCCCCATTGCAATAACCATCATGCATTTTGTGTTCGAAGCTTTAGACGTACCGACTTCTCGGTCGATATGCCGGCGTCCAGGACCACGACATAATATTGGCGACGAGGATGCCTCGGGACCTCAACTAAACAGACAGGGACATTTCGAAGAAAGAAAGTCGAGACTGGCAACGTTTCCTGGAGTGCAGCTTCGCTCAATTTCAGAAAGGTCTCATTAGGGGTCATTTCACAATGAAGAATACTAATGAACTCATGTACATCATCTGTTTACCGAAGCGCTTAATAGTTATCGTGGAATTGTTCTTCAGACATGTCATAAAAACCAAAATCCACATTTGGCTGCAGTTGGCAACGTTGTCTTCGCCCTGTAAAGCTGGCGCACCCGCGTGAGTGTGGTGTCGTTCGGTTGCATCAGATGCCGTCTACAGCATCTACGCCCCTGTAGCCTGCGCTCGCGTAGTTAAAAATGCACTCGAAGCTTGTTAAGGCACGACCACATTGGCGTCGCGGAGGCCTGCGGCGCGACGGTCGGTGGGGCCGGCTGCCGACCAAAACCAGTTTTCGGCTTCAGCGGCGCGACGCAAAGCACCGCAGAGCCAACCGCACCTTGCGCGGTTCAGAGCTCGCCACCGCTCGCCGCAGAAGAAAGGAGCCAATGAGAGGTGGCGTAGATAGTGACGTTGCGATGCCATGCTAAAGCTCAGCCGGTCCTCCGCGCGTCTTTCACGTTCCGAAGGACGTAGCGTGGTTTCGTGTCTTCTGCTATCCCTATTTTCCCCGATGCCTTCCCCAACGTAGCGGTTCCTTGAAACTGTGCGACTGTCTCCCTTTTTATGAGACAGGACGCAGCCAGACTACCTAGATAATGACGCTATGAACAACCGCTGGGAAATTATAGGAGAGGTATCCGGTATTACAAGTTAGTTTCTCCGTGACACTTGTTGCATGTCGTCTGTGTTGGGACGGATGTCGTGTTGATTTGGTGAGACTCTCGAAAGTAACCTTCATCTCTGGCGCGCCGCCGGGGCAGCAAAGCACTGACCTGTCTTTCGGTGCTTCGGTAGAACCAACTCGGCCGGACCCAAAACCTGCGCCTCCTTCCCTTCAGAGCGCGGCGACGTCACAAAATCAACGAGCAGACTGGGATAATCACATTCACGCTGATCATCATGGACCCCTACCATGTAGGCAGCGAGTGCAGTTTCGATGCTGATGTATGCGAAAGATGAGAGCCGAAACGGAAGTGTCTAACGAAGAGCAGACGACGAAAGAGCGGGAAATCCGACGGGAGGCACGATCGCGGGATCCAGTGCTGCCACGTGGCGCCCGCAAAACGGAGGCCAATGTGGACTCCTCGCGTTGGGACGTTGGACGGCGGTGCTGCCCAGAGGCGCCGACCAGCGGCGCCGTTCACGTTAGTGTGGTCAGGCCTTTAGCAAGACGCTATTGAGGCAGACGCCTTGCGTGCCTTGCGTCAAGCTTACGCGCGCGCGCGTATTCCGCGAAGCGCGGATTACGCCACTGGCGCCGTGTGTGAGCTCTACCCTGAAAAGCAAAAATAAATAGTTGTGTATTTTATGTATTGACGACACCGACATCCATCGGGGTCAGCAACTCGCCAAAATGACAAATTTTGTTGACTAGATAGTTTTCAAACTTTGTTGGCTATTTTTAATAAATATTTAAACGGAATTACACTGTATCATTTCAAATTGTGGGCTTTGCACATGATGCTAAAGGCGACTGCATTGTTGCCCTTTAATAGCCTACTCAGCACTGTAAAAAAGCGCACAAATAAAAAATAAAAAAGCTCGCAGCAGGAAATTGAGATATCGAACGAAAGATGAGCGATGATGATGTGACATCCATCTCTGGTGTATCAGAACTGCCTTCATCTTGTATCTCTGAATATGTAATTTAAATTCTAAACAGTAAAATGGTTTCGCCTTCCCGCTTGCCAATGGCGTCCGAAGTACAATTCTCTTGGTTAGAAATTATAATATGAAGGATATTGTCTATATAATCTTCGTTTACGAGTTGGCGATATTTCCCACCTTCAAGCCACCTATTCCACGCGGTCCGATGTATTATCAAACTCAAAATCAGTTCACCTTACCTTATTAGAATCGGTTTATATTCACCCGCCCGCAATCTTGCATGTTTCCAGGGGCTGTGCTCTGTCAACAAAATGATGATCGGGACAACCCTGGCAGTGAAAACGATCAAACCGAGTGCCATTCTCTGGGACTCAGTGGCCGGCTGGCGATCGTTACCGGAGGCGCAAGTGGGATCGGCAGAAGCGTCAGCATGGTACTTGCCCGAGAGGGCGCCACCGTCGTCGTGGCAGACAGGAACAGTACGGGCTCCAATGAAACCCTACAGATGCTCCAAGGTCAGTCAAGTGGCTTATATATTTCCACACGCTTTTCTAGCACTTATTGCCCAGTCAAATAGTCATTGGACTATAAACGATTGCGCGGCATCTGGTAGCCCGAAGAAAAAACCTACTGCGCGTGCTCAGAACGCGTTTGACAGCTTAGTTGATAAAGATGGCGGCGCACGGAAGGCGCTTATTAGAATTGTCTAAAGACGTTCTCAATGTCTAGCACGAGGAGACAAACCAATGGATCGCGCTGAGTTTGATCCCCGCCGCGTCGCGAATAGTTCTGAGTCAGCATCGTACAGACGTATGGTATCGAACTGCCCCCCCCCCCCCCCCCCCCGCGTCATGCATATTAAAAGCCCATGTCGTTTTAAGGTGACTGACTTTTCGCTGTTTAATCATTCATTCAACAAAGTAGGCATTTGATTTTTGAGAAACGGCTCAGTATGGGCATCTCCGTAGTCAAGCACACGCGTGCTCGGCGAGTTTGAAAACGATCAAAACACGCGCTATACGCAAGAGGGTAGAAAGTTGGGCGAGTTGGTGATTCATAATGATTAAAAAGCGTAACAGGACAATGGACACAGAAGGAGACACAGGCACAGCGCTACTTACAACTGAACTTTATTTCCGCTGCAGCTCGGTATATATTACCGGAAACAACACAAAGAAGTTAGGAAGATATAAAATACACATCGTAAAAATCTTTAAAAACAACATAAAAAGTCCAAAAATTCCAGCATCACTCATCGGCATTGCCGATGAGTGATGCAGGAATCAGGAATCACTCATCGGCAATGCCGATGAGTGATGCAGGAACATAAAAAGTCTAAAAATTCCTGCATCACTCATCGGCAATGCTGATGAGTGACGCAGGAATTTTTAGACTTTTTATGTTGTTTATAAAGATTTTTACGATGTGCATTTTATATCTTCCTAACTTCTTTGTGTTGTTGCCGGTAATATATACCGAGCTGCAGTGGAAATAAAGTTCAGTTGTAAGTAGCGCTGTGTCTGTGTCTCCTTCTGTGTCCGTTGTCCTGGTGCGCTTTTTAATCATCGCTATACCCACGCATGATTATTATGGCACCAGAAAACTCTTCTCTGTCATGTCATTTTCTTCCTATATGGCGATTAATTTGTGTATTTTAATGTTTTGTGAAATTTTAAGGCTGTTTTTCAAAACAAGTAGGTATTTATTTAACCATCATTTGAAGATCAAAATTAGTTGCACAATACGATGTTTTGGGTCCATTCCTCTGATATTTCCTTTTCACAGCCTCGTACAAGGGCGATCACCAGGCCATATTTGTGGACGTTTCCAACTCCAACGCTGTCAGCAACCTTTTTGAGGAGATAGAGTCGTCGTTCGTGGGCAGGAAGATCAGCGTTGTGGTGAACAGTGCCGGCATCCCGGAAATAGGAGTGCCGATAGAGGAAACAACCGATACTAAATTTGACGATGTAATTGCCACCAACCTAAGGGTGAGTTACAACAAACTGATGAACCTTCTGCGCCACTTACTTCAATTAAGTCTCGCATACTGCTGTATTGCACTGATCGAAGAAATTGTCATTAGACAAATATTCTGAACATCTTAAGACTACTAGTCATCGCACAAAAACAAAATAGAGTGCAGACCCATCAGAAGGTTGACATGACATTGAGTTGTGTCACTGGTTTTGTTTTATGACGCCTCGGGACATGCAGGAAGTTATGATTTAGGCATCGACGCTTCTTGTGTTCTTAAAGCCACTCCTTTTATGAATATTAGAATACCACCAACCAATCATTACAAACCCCGTACCGCAATCCACGATCTCATTTCTTTACATAGAATATTGCCATGAGGAGACCCAATGTCCGACAAATGTCCATGAGAAGGTCGCTGGGACCACATGCTTGTTCTGGGTACCCGTTTCTGCTACGTGGGCACACATTTGACTTTTTTCACTCGCAGGGAACGTTTCTGATAGACCGAGCGGCAGTGAAGCACATGCTGGCCAACAACGTCACAGACGGCGCCATCGTCAACGTCGCGAGCATCGTCGCCAAAACTGGAGCTCAGCAACTTTCCGCCTATTCTGCATCCAAGGGCGGCGTAGTGTCCCTCACCAAGGCAGTGGCCCTTGAAGTGGCCAACATGGGCATTCGTGTCAACACCATTCTGCCGGGTCCCACGGACACACCCTTCTACGCCAACTTTCCAGCAGAACTTGTGGCCGAAATCGCCAGCTCACCTGCCCTGAAGCGGATGGCGAGACCCGAAGAAATATCTGAGACTATAGCGTTCATGTGCAGTCCGAAGAGCAGCTTCATGACCGGAGCGGCCATTGATGTGGCGGGAGGAATAATTGCATGATCTATCCCTCACAAATAAAAGATCCGTCATGGGCGTGAATATGAGAAACAGTCCATCTGTGTACATCCACCCACCATAGATAAGTTCCGCCTTAAGGTAAGGACACTTGACCCATGGATGGGGGGGGGGGGGGGGGGGGGGATGAATGGATGGATAGATGGATGCATAATAACGGTGTACATTTTTATAACGGCGGTAGTTTGCGCCACTAGCCTAAAAACAAGCAAGAATCCTTATTCCCCCTTTCTCCTTCCCTGCCAGTTCATTTTTGTAACTTTCACAAGGCAACAAAGGTGATCGCCAGAAACACATTCGTTAAATCGTGCAAAACAAAATCAACCACCTTTTTCTTTCCCAGGCAAGGGAGTCGCCAGTTTTCCCCTCCTCATTCCTTGTCGGCGTAAACTAACTCCAATCGCACTGGAGGACTGATTCAAAGCATTGGGCCGGTGCCGCTAGAGTGGCAGTCCTTATTTTCTTCTGTCCCTCCTGACCCCCAGTTGTGCTAGTTAGTTCAACTTTGTTCAATTTTCCCTAGATAATTTCTACCAGCACTTCAACCTCCTCTTCGTTTCCTCTACTCTTTCGATAATCCAACTTTCCATCCTCTCCAATAATACCCAGAGTCACCGATATGTCTGTAACTTTTTCTGCACGGGCAGGACTAATCTTCTTACATTTTAGAATAAGAAGCTCAATTGTTTCCGCCCGCTTTTATTTAAAAAAGCACTGACACATCAAAATCTTTTTTTTTTTTTGTATATTATCCGAAACGATTGAAAACGATGCCTGGACATTACCCTCAAAAATTCGAAACTTGGGAGTTCAGTGTTTGTGAAGTAAAAAAAACAATTTCCGAAGGCTGAATTTGAAGTTCCCGCGCGATCCGCGCCATAGCAGTGACGTCAAATATTGAGTTGTCCTGCGAGTCGGGTTTCTTTCACGCGACCCGGCGTACCGGGAACAACCGGTTTCCTTCGTGTGTGCAGTGCCGCCTATCGCTGCGAGCAGACGACGCTTGATGTTCAAGTTTGAAGTTCTTTTAGGGCACTTTCAGCGATCTCAAATTCTTTGAAACGGTGTGAGGTTGAAGAGAACGAGCAGTGTACTTTTGTGAGCGACGCGAGGGGTCACGTCTCGCCGGTTCTGCGCGAAAGGCTGCCCCGGCGGAGTCACAACCAAAACTACGATTCACAGACACCAAACCCCGTTGTTTTGACCGTTTGACGATTTGCTTTTCGAAGCCTGAGAGGTTGTCGGGCACCTAAAAAAGACCGCTTTGTCCGATTCCCCGACTCACCGATCATTCTCTGTTATGTGCGTCGAGCGCTGCCATGTTTTCTGAGGGAGTATAAAAATCCAGAAGGCGACATGCCGCCATGTTTTCTGAGGGAGTATAAAAATACAGAAGGCGACATCACACCGGACTCCGATTTTCGGTATTTCAAAAAGATGGGTCGTAGTGCGTTCGCAAAAGCATTAAAAAATATGTTTTACGATTGCCATTATAAGTTTTATAGAAATGTCGCCTACGAAGCTTCTAAATTTAATAATATTTGACGTCACAAATCAAAAGAAGCGAGGAGATGAAAAGAGGGAGGGAAAAACGCCAAAAATAAAAAGATGCGCGTCCGTGTGGGAAATATTTGTGTGTGTGTGTCAGTGCCCCTTTAATCCATTTGGTCCTATAAATTTTAGTTTTTAAGAATCCCGCCCTTGCCTCAAACAGCGAAGCGCCTCCTCTTGAATTATTGAATAAACATTCCCTCTTTTCTTTTCTCTTTTTTTTTTTTACTTTTGTGATCTATAAGTCCAAAAGCTCACTTCTCCTGTGTTTTTTTTTCAACCATATCCATCTCTCTGCGTTCTGTATCTTCCTCTGAACGCGCTTGCTCCCCACCCCCTCCATTGCCTATTTGCAGGAATTTCCTTCGAAGCTTTCGTGTCAGTTTCGTTTATTTCGTGTTCAGGCTCCTAATATACCAGTATTTATAAATTATATACACCTACCGCGTGTCATTATGTCTGTTAGTTTTTAGCCGAATTTTATATAACTCACTGCCTCCCTACTTTCGAATCATGGCCAGCCCATATCACCCTGCAATCCCCCGCTTGGAGTGTTCCCAAGTGTACCTAGAGGTATCCTGCCAGAGCTCTTTCGTGCTGTCTCCTATCTCGCCTGAAATTCAGAAATTGTGCACAAAACTGCGTCATCAAAGGTCAGTCCAGGTACTATTATTTATTTCCATACTCCCCGCACAACGTTGTATCTATTAAAGATCCATAAAGCCTTGTGTTCTATAAAGGCCAAAATCCTTTTACCCTATACAATTATATGTCTCTCGTATTTCTCTATGTATTTTTCCTCTGTTTATTCCGAACTCACTTTTATTCGTAGCTATCGCCAATTTCGCCCCCTCTACACTATAAACACCACAATGGCGGCGCCCACAAAAGATAGGAGCAACAAAGTGTCGATAGCCTAAGCGATGGCTTACTTAGTGGTTATATTTGAACCTCGTATTCGAACATTTTGACGTCCAGTGCTGTATGAAAACAAAAACAGTTTCAATTCAAAACTTACTTTAATGTATGTCCTTTGGCGTATTTTAGAACACACTATAGTTAAATTCAAGCCAAAAAAGTAAATAACACCAACGTTAATGTTATCCCAAATGGCGAAGTGCGAGATCCAAGAGTTCGTTAAAAACAAAAGGTGAGCCTTCACGCGATTTGGACAACGAGATGTCCGCAATATATTCCACAAGTTGTTGTCTCGTTACTGTTAATGGTTTGAAACGGCTAAATTACCGAGCTGAAATATCATACTGTCACAACGCGGAACAACTTGTACCATATGAGAAAAGCATAACGAGGTCAGTCGATGATGGTGATGAAAATCATCATTCTTCTGCATGCAAACGAAGTTTCGCTGCTGAGTTGATCTAAAAATGGTGACTTAGTGCTACACAGGTGCTGGCAAGTTTACACGGAATGATCCCAAACCAGGTCTGTATTCGCAGCAGCGGAAATAACATACTGCCGTTTTATTGTACATGCGAGCCCGGCAGCCGTATCTATCGAACAAGATAAGAATAACCTCACATTTTGCCCCAACGCACGTACTCTGTCGAGGTTTAACGAAAAATTACGTTTCGCCTCGCTGAAGCATCTGTTTCTAACATCTGTCCCCCATAGGTAGACTAGACACGTGGAAGCTGGCATTACAGCTATCCTATAGCCTCAAACTATTTGAGATCACTTTCAGGTAGTGCCTCAACAATGAACGGCAGGAGCCTTAGCTTCTTCGTGGCCTTTCTGGCAGTCGGTAAGTCTATCTTGGTACTCATTCTGACACTTCAGAGAGTAGACACAACAAAGTGCACACGGAGGGTGAAAACACCCTAGAATAATCAACGCCCGTGCACTAGTGTTGCACGTCCCTACAAGGCGATTGATTGCAGACGCAGCTTGTACACATGTGCTTCGTTGGCGTTCAATAGACCGATCTCACCAGCTAGTTTGAGTACGCCACCGCTGCCGATATGCATCGTGGGAGCTGTAGTCTTTCTGCACGCGCCTGCACGCGCGAAAACTCTGCTGGAGGTTTGCGCGAGCAGACCACGAGGCGGCATGAGCTGTCGCGTGGACTGGCGTCTGCCTCCTACGAACTACAGTTATGGTGGCGTCACGCATGCGTGGAACGCTTGGTGAGATCGGTCTATTGGGCCGCGTGTCTAGTCAATGGGGAGTTTGAAAAAGCCGTTTTTTCACGCCCGGTGTGGTTCGATAGGCCCTTCGGTACGAACTGCGCATGCGTGTGCTAACGCAGAAGACTCGCACAAGGGTATTTCGTATACCAGACGGCCCATTGTACCCTATTATATGTGCAAAAACGGTTCCTTAAAACTCACTCATCAGTCGAAGGGCGCTCGGCATCGGTCTCGGGCCCAGTACTCCTCCTGCACGATCGAAGCGATCCTACACTTTATTTCAGCTTAAGCCCAGACGCAGCCGATGCTCAAGCGCTTGCACTTGCAAGTGCTTGAGCTTGCAAGACAGGGATGGCCGCCCTGTCTTGCAAGCGCTTGTAAGACAAGGATGGCCGACGTCAGGGATTGAAAAACCATGCTAATTAACAGAATAATTACTTAAAATTCCATAATCAACCCTTAGATGCTTAAGCATTTATCGCCTTGGCGCAAGCTGCCGTTTATAATTTGGGATGGTTTGGATTGGACCGTGGGCTAGGTTCCGTGAGGTCGCGGAGCTGTTTCCGCCGGACCCTTCTGCTCCTCTCCGTTCGTTCGCTCGTCACGTGCACTTTCCCTCTAATACGCAAGAGGGAAAGAGCCTTCTCCCACGCTTCCAATGACGAGCAGCTGCTGGCGCGTTCTGCTCTTACGATGGCACCTGGGCATATAGGCACATGGTTTCGTTTCTCCCGTATGCACAGCGCAAGTAAGATCGTAAAGGCCCGTTCACACTCTTGCGACCGAGTAAGACCGAGAGAGACCAGACCGGTTTTTAAGCCTCTTGCGACTTCTTACGACCAGCTCCGTTGCATCACATCCGGTCCTAAGAAGTCGCAAAAGGCTTAAAAACCGGTCTGGTCTCTCTCGGTCGTTCTCGGTTCCAAGTGTGTGAACAAGCCTTTAAACCAGGCGCGGCGACGGCCTTGTTTGCGCGAAACCGCCGGCATTCGAGAGGAAAGCATGGCTCTTCGAAGACAAAAGTTTGCGGACCGTTACGAAGTTGGAATTGCCATCTTTCGTTGAGTCGGCAACCCCCGCGTTAAACGCTAACGCATTTACTCGAGAATCAGCGTAACGACAGTCGCGATTTCGCCATCCTTCTTTTCTTTCTCACCTCAGAAATAAAATATGCATCGCCGAACGTTGAGTCTCCACTCAAATGTAACGCTAGTGGGGCGGACTGGAGGTCAAAGTTTTAAAACAAACAGTTATCTTATTCAAGTGTTATAAGTGATTTCCTCAAACGTTCAATTGGAAAGTGGGGCCCACTCCTGATATTTTGCGCCATTCAACACCATGAATTTGCGACCTCCGTCGGCACCCCCTTGCCCGTTGAAAATTTTCTAAACTCGCTTATAACATTTTAAATCCAAAAGTTTATCCTGAAAGTTTGACATCGCTCTTCTCCACCGCCTCCCCCCGGGAAATTTAAAACTTCCCGCCGATGCGTGCAGAAATTTCTGGAAGTATTCTAACGATCACTTGGAGCCACCTTAGCATGATGACGTTACCTGGAGGTAGAGGAGGCTCTTCACCGGCTTTCATTATTCTAGGTGGTGTTGAGATAACTCGGAGCTTTTTATCGGTGGCTAGTGTCGGACCGTTGATGCCCCGATGCCGGGCCGGTCAAGCTGCCGCGTACCCAGAGGTCGGCATTTTAGGTCGCTCTCACTGACCTTCATCCTCACAGCCAAACTCACTTAGGCCCCTCACTCAACCTCACCCTCGCAGCTACACTCTACCTCAGCCCCTCACTCACCCTCACCCTCATAGCCACATTTACCTCAGCCCCTTACTCACTCTCACAGCTATACTCACCTTCAGCCCCTCACACACCCTCACCCTCACAGTCACACTCACCTTCAGCCCTCCACTGAATCTCACACCCTTACGCACTCATGGCCCTCGAGCCCATGACGCCCCTCAGGCACTCACCGCCCTCATGCCCTCACACCCCTCACGGCACTCACGCACTCATCGCGCGCGCTTGGAAGAGACGCTGAAAGTCCGGAGCTCGCTCTTGCGGCTTTTCTCACGTTTGACACTGAAAAAAAGAAAGGGAGTACTAACTTCCGTCTGCTTTCTTCCTCCACTGCACTCTAGCTGCCTTTCCGTTGTTGTTGTTGTTGTTTTCTTTTTTTTTTTTTTTTCTTTTGGGGCTTTTAATGTTAGCGCCCATTATTCGCCGCGTTCTGCTTCCGTCTCCATCCTCCTGGTTGACGAAGCCAAGGACGCACTGCATTGGTGAGCTCTTCACCGGACCCGAACCGCAATACCATTCAGATGTTCCTTTGTCTTAGGGAATAGCCAGAACTATGATGGTGCGAGATCCGGGCAGAAAGGCGGGTAAAGCGAAACATCTTGGAATTGCAGCTTCTCCTGCGCGGCGTTGGTCTCGCGAACAGCCGCCCTCATTCTTCTACAACGGCATGCAGGGAGTGGTGAATCGGAGGCGGAACTGTCGCTGGAGGGGACTATATCGAAAATGGAGGTTTTCCTACAAAAGAATAGATTCTAATCCTTCGTTTGATTGTAGAATCTTCAAATATATGATTGAATAAAAACGCTAGAACCCAGAAAAACATACTAACTGAACACACTTCGTACAATCAGTTCCTATCTCCCTTCCCTCGTGTTAATTGTCTTTTACATTTTCAGAAACTGTGATCAGCCAAACAAACGGTGATTGGGACAACCCTGGCAGTGCAAGTCACCAGACCGAGTGCCGGTCTCTCGGACTCGACGGCCGTCTGGCTCTTGTTACCGGCGGTGCCAGTGGGATCGGCAGAAGCGTCTGCATGGTGCTCGCTCGAGAGGGCGCCACCGTCGTCGTAGCGGACAGGAACAGAACGGGCTCTGATGAAACCATACAGATGCTGCAAGGTTAGGTGTATCTCTCACAATGCTCTTACTGTGCAGAATATTCAACTTACACTTTAGAGAGAAACGAACGGTTCTTTACTCTCTCGAAGATTCATTACCTTCTTTGCAGACGGAACATTATTTTGATTACCAACATTTCAGCTAAATATCGGCTTCTTTCTTGCAAATTGTCAGGCAGAGGGCTGTTGATTAAAAATCTTAAAGAGCGATGACCGGTAGTTGCAAAGTCTTTACTTTAAGACCAGGGAGACTTGCGGCCGTTTGAAAAAACGATGAAATGTCAGAGTGATCGGGATCGGCTAAACGTGCGATAGTATCATATGATTCTACCTTATTCCAGGAAAATGTCGTTTCAGTCAAAACCTCCTGACAGGTGCCATATTCATGGTAACAAAGCATGGCGCCTGCTTTCCTTGTTTTTGAAACTACGAACATGCTCATGCCCAGCTGCAGAAATCGCACGTGGGGCTGTGGATTTGTAAGCATTAAAACGTTTGCAGCACGCCATTGATCCAGCAAAGGACTTTAGACTGCAAACTGCTATGGCTGGGTTCTATTTGTATGCCATTTTTTCACAGCCTCATACGAAGGCGATCACCGGGCCATCTACGTAGACGTTTCCAATCCGACCGCCGTAAGCAAGCTCTTCGAAGAGATCGAGTCGTCGTTTCCGGGCAGAAATATCAGCGTCGTGGTCAACAGCGCCGGCATCCCTGGAGTGGTAGCGCCGATCGAAGAAATAAGCGACGCCGAGTTTGACGATGTAATCTTAACCAACCTAAGGGTGAGTCCGGGCAAACCGATGACCGGTGTGCTGCACATGACTCAGAATAGGTTCTGCGCCTTCCTCCTAACGCGCAGACTGAATAAAGAACAAGCAGGCAAAATATCTTCGGGTCATCTCGTAAGTATCAGGCACGAGAGAACAAAGAAAACGGACTGTCAGAACGCAAGGGTAATTGCCCCGAGCTATATTGTAAGTTCTATTTTTTCAATGCTTGTGAAGATGCAGGGTGTCATCGCTTTACACATATACGCCGCTTTTTGTTTTGTTGGCGCAGTTATTGGATATGGGTGTTATAATATCCGCTTTTACAGCCCACCGTTAGGCACACCTATCGCAAGCTACGATCTCGTTAAAGAAACGGACATATCGCCCTAAGAAATATCTATGGGAAGTATCAATGCCGCACGGATGTCTAAGATAAAATTGGCGCTAACCATATGATTCGCTTGTATACGGGCTAAACCTAAAAAATAAAGTGGTAGTGCTGAATATTTGCCGTCCTTTTCACAAAATGTACAGGAGCGCTGTGTCAGTGTTCAACTGCCACTAGTTCTCTGATGGGAATTACGGTAGTTTCAGCCGAACGCTGAGACAGCAGTCGTGTTTAATCTGTGCCGGTATTCGCCTTGTTTAAGCGACAACAAAAATTCAGTGCTGCTGGTCTGTTCTCAAAGGGGTGACTGTAATGGAAACTCATTCGATTTCTCTCACACGCAGGGAACGTTCCTCATAGACCGAGCGTCGGTGAGGCACATGCTGTCTAACAACGTCACGGACGGCGCCATCGTCAACATCGCGAGCAGCCTAGCAGACACTGGCTTTGCCACACTCCCCGTCTATTCAGCCTCCAAGGGCGGCGTCGTGTCCCTCACCAAAGCTGTGGCTCTTGAAGTTGCCAGCAAAGGAATCCGCGTCAACGCTATGCTGCCGGGCCCCGTCGACACGCCCTTCTACGCCAACTTTTCTGCAGAGCTGGTGGCCAAAGTTGCCCAGTCATCTCCCCTGAAGCGCATGGCACGGCCTGAGGAAATATCTGAGACGATTGGGTTCATGTGCAGCCCCAAGAGCAGTTTCATGACGGGCGCGGCTGTCGAAGTCACCGGAGGAATAACATCATCGGCCTCTATACCCTGATAAACAAAAACAGTACACCTCATCTTCTGATATTTTTCAGCACTGTCAAACAACATTAAAATAAAAACTGAGATGCGCATCCCGACGCCTTCGCTCGTGTCCACGAGAATATGGTGAAAGGGAGTGCAACAGCAGGACCAAGTATGACTTACGGGAGCCAGCAGCAGTAGTCAACTGTCGGCGTGCGCAGCTCGCTCTCGAATGACAAACCGTAGCTCCCCTCATGATCTTACGTCACGTGGCAGTTTATAATGCAACAGAAAAGAGCGTAGTTCTAGTCGATGTATGGCGACACTACTTCGCACAGCGGCCAATAGATACCGTGGCTGTGACGAATACAGATGTTTTCAGTTTTACGAGAGTTCATGGTGAAAGCTCACAAACATTGCGTCCCGTATCAGCGCGAGAATACGAGCCCTCATTCTGGTTCCTTGTTATTTTGGTGATGATGATGCTACAAAGAGATGAAGGGACCAAAAAGGTCAAGCTGGTTCGTAACACTCTTTCTCACCGTTCCCCGGCTGGAAGAAGATGTAATATAAGAGGGGGAACGAGAGAGGTGATGTTGGAGGGCAGGGTGGCGCAACACAAAACATAGTCATACAAGAAAACTCTGCCATGGCTGTTGGCTGGTCTCCCATAGGAGGCACCTGGAAGTTGATTGTCCGGGAGTGAGATTCAGGCGAAACGTATGTCTTTAGGCGGCTCATATGAACTATGTTACTCTGTCGCATGCGGTAACCGTGTGGCGGAAGTAGAGCTAGGTGAAAGGTGTCAGTTTTCTAGTGATGTGATATAGCCCTATACATTTACGTTTAAACTTATCTGCTATTCCTTGTTTTCAAATGAGCACCTACACCCACACAAGATTCCAAGCTTACGCATATGCTAAGAAGGGTGTAGCACGATTGCCCGGCGTGAAAATTCCCTGCCGCAAAAGCCCCACGTCATTAGCCCCACGTATCAGAAACCCCAAGTTCGATTACACCGTCCCGCATATTTCCCGCATGCTCGCCAACAGCTCCATCCTCAATGTCCCCGTCCGACCCTCTTCGCGCTTCAACTAGCGTTGTTTCCTTTCTTATCATAATTAATATTTCTAGGATCTACAAAGGGTCCCTTAATCGAAATGAACAACAAAATGAGGCTACCATGAAGCGCCGAAAAACTTAAAATGACGTACAAGTGGTCAATTGCATAAATCGCATCGCTAGCAAAGCACTCCGCTGTCATGGAGGTGTACTTGGACGTAGAAGTGCAGATTTTGTCTACCTAGGTGGATAAACTTTTTCAGACTGACGTAAGAAGAATGAAACTGGTGTTCTGTGCTGTGATGAGTAAGACGCCATGAGCTCCGGGTTAAAAGTTTCTGCAGAACCTACTTCGTCGGAACTGTGAATCCGCGCGTGCTTCAGAGTCGACGGCCGTTTTGGTTCAATATTTATTAATAAAAGCTGTACCTTCAAATGTTTTGCCATTGACCGATATGTCCTACTTGTTTTCAGTTCTAACGTCGCAGGACACGAATGTGCTTAACGCAGGCCTAAAAAACGGAAAGCTTTATCCAGTACGGCATGATTGCGTTACGCAGGCTCGCGTGCACACTTACTGTCTTTTAGTTAAAAGAAGAATGCTCCGCCATCACGGTGTAGACCCGGTCACCTGACACGGGAGATTCGTGTCATGGGCTTCTGAAATTGGAGCTTTTGAAAGCGGGGCAAATTAAAGGGGCGTTTGCTGCGGGGCATTTAACACGGGGCTTTTGACCTCGGGTACTTTCGTGCACCACACGTTGAGAAGTATGTGCTGAATCGTAGAATCGTAGCGAGTCTTTAGGGTGTAATGTTAGTGAGCAGTTTGCAGTCGTGGAAGCTGGCGGTTCTTTTCCGTACGGCATGGCAAGGGCATCACTAGGGTCAGCGGCACCTGGAGTGGTGGCCCGCAGCGACAACCAGCACCCCTTCCCTTTCCACTGCCCAACTGCACTCTTGCCGCATCACCCCCCCCCCTTTTTTTGTGACGCCACTGCAACATGGTTTCTGATAAAGGTGTCCCTATCGATTGTTGCATACACAAATATGGTGTCTGCAAAAATGTTCCAAAAGCAAGGATTCCTAATGATAAAGAAAACTACACCGCCTTACCTATATTAACAATTAAATTAGACGCTTCGTCTCCCATGCGCGAGACATCAGTACGTGTTCAGGGTCACGAATGAGGGGAGCACAGAAACCAGAAGGCTATTTAAGGATATCCGCGTACACCTCGAAGGGGGCCTCGGTGTGCATTGCTGGCGGATGCGCCACTACGATTGCGGTTTCGTGGGCCCCACCTGTGTTCTCGCACCGAGGTCACTGCACTCTGAGAATCAAAGCTGTGACCCATTTTCCAGCAGTGATCTTCTAAGTGCAGTTTTTGACTTCGTTGCATCTGTGACCTTTTCCACGTCCCTCTTGTGTTCCTTAAAGTGACACCGGCCGGAAACAGAATACCGGCTTTATTTGAAGCCGGCATTCCGTTTCCGGCCGGTGTCACCGAATCTAAAATTAGTCACAATCGCGGCGGTTCACTTTATACTCCACGCCACACTGGGACTCTGGAGGGGTTGTGAACCTTTGTTTTTGATATGAGGTCACGCAGCTTGAGGTGGGGCTTAAAAGTTGTTCCTACGCCTAGAGGGAGGCGGACGAACACCTTTCAAGCAACCACCTCAAGCTGTTTCAGATTTGTTTGTTTAAAAAGAAGTGGTTTCAATTCTTACCTAATTCAAACGGAAAACAAAAGGGTCGTATTTCCTCTATCCCAGCTAGTGGGAGGAGGGGGGGGGGGGGGGGGGGGGGATAGGAAAAAATGTCCCCGGAAAATGTCCCCGGAAAAAAAATCTCCGGACAAAATGTCCCCGCAAAAAAAGGTCCCAAGTGAGAAGTAGGAAAAAGTGTCCCCAAAGGATTCTCTATCTCTGGGTTTCCCTGATCCTCATGGCCTTCGGGCGGTCCGGTCATATGTCCTTGGGAAAAAACGCACCCAGTGACAAGTAGGGAAAAACGGCCCCAACACATAAGGAAATATACGATTCCACGAGGTACACATCGCGACACTGTTAGCGCGAACACGACATCGGCGCATTTTCACCTTTTACTTAGAGTACTAGTGGAAACAAAATTTTACCGTATATCCCCATGTGAGCACTTTCAGTACCCCTGATAACCTTAATGACGACCTTTCGTTTCTATGAGAAAAATATTAAAAAAAAAACTACCAATCGCTTGTCCGTGCTAACAGTGTCGCGCTTTTTAACTATTTGGAAATGGTACACAAGTACCAATCAAATTTCCCCAAACACAATAATTTGGTTTTGGCTAGAATTGTTATAATTAAAAAACACAAAAAGAACAATATTTGGTTTTGGCCGACCAATAATTTGGCTTCCAAAATTCCCCACAATAGATTACTTCGGTTGCTTAGTGTGACTTCCAGTCTCCCTTTCTACCTCTAGGTGGGTCAGCTCATTTGTGACCGGATAATGCCAGGACCACCTCAAGGCCTGGAAAATCGGGAAAACCCAGCATAGAGAACCCTGTGGGGACATTTTTTCCTACTTTCCACCTGGGGTCTTTTCTTGGGGGGCATTTTTTCCGGGGCCGTTTTTTTTTCTGGGGACATTTCTTCCGGAACCCAGCAAGGGGATCCGGCCAACTCGCCGAAGCCAACTCGTCCACAGCCAATTCATCGAAGAGGTCAATTCCTAATAGGTCAATTCGAATAGGTCAATTCCTAATAGGGCAATTCGTCAAAGGGCAACATGTAGAAAGGGGCAGTCTGTCGAAGGGCGATTTGTCGACACGGTTTAATGACGGTCCGAGGTGAAAGCTCGTGGTTTTTTTGTTATCTTTTGACCTAAACTTTGATTTGTGTTTGGGCTACGGACAGCGTTCTTTATTACTTTATTACTTACTATTACAGCACTCTTTCTCAACTTATTACTTCTAAGCTGCAAGTTATCTTCGACAAGAAAGATCACACTCGAGTTTAATTACCGTGCGGATATTTTACGAATTACTATAGTGCAGTATTTGCTTTAAAATTTCAGGACAAAATTTTATATTTTGTCTTTGAAAAAGCGGCGACGAATTGGCCTCTTTGAGGAGTTTTCCTTGGACGAGTTGTCCTATGACGAATAGGCCTATTTGACGAATGGGCCGCTGACGAATTGGCCGTCGACGAAATGGCTTTCGATGTATGAACCTAAGCCAGACTTAAACATGGTAAAAGTCCGTTCCCACACTTGCGACCGACTAGGACTGAGACGACACCGGTTTTTAAGACTCTTCTGACAGCTTACGACCGACTGTGCTGCTGCGGAGACGGTCCTAAGCAGCAGCAAGCGGCAGAAAAACCGATCTTGCCTCATTCGGTCGTAGTCAGACGCAAGTGTGTGAACTGAACGCAGTCGGAGCACGTGGAGGCTCGCTCTGCAAAGAGTTGGGTTGTGTGTATACGTTTATACAGCCTAGAACTTGGTCTGCCTCACAGGGGCGACGAGCCTCCCAGCTGTAGATGAGAAATTTAGCCAGTGCGGTACAACCGCTAGCCTGGGGTCTTTAACGTGCACCACGCAGTAGTGATACATGACCGCACGCCGGTACGATGCTCATCCAGATCGAAACGGGCAGGGGTGGGGCTCGAGGCTCGCTCTGCACAACACAGATATCCTGTGTTCACTTCCCACCCCTGCCCATTTCGGTCTGGATGAGCATCGTAGCGTCATGCGGTCGTGTATCACTACTGCGTGGTGCCCATTAAAGACCCCAGGCTAGCAGTCATATTGAACTGTTCATTGCTTATCTAAAACGTAAACCAGTGTCGCCGCAGCTCAAAAGCATACCGATTACAGTTTACGATTTATGAACACGAACATCTTTTTATTTGTACACAATAGCCTTGATCATGACCCAGTTGTCTTCTTTCAAAAGCCCTAAAGGTGCCATCCACACTCCATC